TTTTCAATTTAAATTCAGCACATTCAGAACAACTTTAATTTTGAATGAATACACAAAATCTAAAAGTCATGAAAGTACAGAGAAAGAAGAAACATCTACCAGAACAACATGATTGCCTATCTATATTTAGAGTATCAAGCTAAATTTCTATGAAATCTCAGAATATTTCAGGAATCAGTGTAAATTTCATACTTGAACCTTATTCCATCTATAGCACAATCAGTAAATAACAGTGATTCATTTATGTTAGATTTTTTTCCATAAATATTTAGGTGGTAGAACTAATAGTATAACCTTAGGGTCAGACTGCCTGGATCCAAATCTCAAATCTGATCCTTACATTTGTTAGTAATGTTAATAATAGTATTTACCTCATATAGTTATTATTATGAGAGAAAGTTCATTGAAAATATATTATCAGTGATAGCTATTATATCCCCTTACACAGACTGATACTTAAATGTTTTTGAATATTATACTAAAATTGTTTTTTTTTCAGGGTTGACCTTCAGATTAAAAAATACTTCTACATTGTTCTCTTTTCTCAGGGATTATCAATTCCAATAAGAGTATGCTTGTTTTCCAGGAATTGGTGACAGTCAAAGATGAGGAAATGGATTTTACCCATGTGGAAGTAGAGCAGTTGAATTCTTCCTATAGATACATGGGAATGGATATGAAGGTGGAGAACTGTGGGAGCCTGGTATTTTGGGGTAAGGAAGTAATTTTGTAATGCAAACTACTATGACACAGACTTCTTCATGGGACAGTGCTATCTAAAATACCAGAGTTCTACTCAGGATTCAGAGGGCCCTGATATCCTAGATCACTTATCACTGTGAGCTCAGAACTGGGTTTGTCTTCTCATTTGGTAACTAAAAGTTTACCGTATGTGGAACTGAAAAAGGACTGCTTGAAGTTATACTGATTTTAAGACTTAAAAGCTACAGTAATTGAATCATCATGTTAGTGAGTGGGTAGATAAAAAACAATGCAAAAGGAGACCCACACATTATGGCCAGCTAATTTTCAACAAAGAGGCAAAAGCACTTTAATATTAAAAGGAGAATCTTTTCCATTAATATTGTTGGAACACTTAGACATCCATATGCAAAAAAAAAAAAGGAGGAACCTCAATTCATATGTCCCTGTAGAAAGTAACTCAAAATGGATTACATACTGTAAAGGAAAAATTCAGCTCTTCCTCTCCTGTGTTTTTCTTCCCTGGATGTGTCATCACAGATCATCCTATCAGATATATGCAAGGCTTTCCCCTACACCAAGTAATTCTCTGTGAGACCAGTTGGGTGTCTTGTAATTTAACCCAATGCTGATACCATCTACCTGAAGATCGTGTCAGATTCCCACAGGTTAATCACTTGGTCCTGGGAGGCTGCCGCCTTCCATATTTGCATGTCATAGGTTTTCAGGTTACCCCACATTCTCTGTCAGCATACCTAAATATAAAACCTAAAACTAGAAAACAACAGAGATAATCTTTGAGCAAAGTTTTATTAGATATGATGCCAAAAGCTTGATCTAGTAAAACTATTTGTGTATCAAGTTTGCTTTGTTAAAGTGTTTTTAATCTTGGATTCAGATCCCTTGCTGGAGAGCGGGTGGCTCAGATGCTCTTATTTCTTTTTGAGTGACATCTGGGAATGATTTCCCATCTTTCACTTGATATTGGTACTTTATGATCTTTTTTTCTGCTTGGTTTTCTTAGGAGTTTAACAATTTCATTGATCTTTTCAAAGAGTCGGCTTTTGATTTAATTGAATGTTGTTTCCGGTTTTCATTTTATTGATGTTTTTGTCTTTATTAATTTTTCCTTTTGTTAACTTTTTGTTTAATGTATTCTCCTTTTTTTACTTAAGGTAGAAACATGATCTTTATGTAAGATCTTTCTTCTCTTCTAGTGCCATTATAATTCATCAATTATTGTTTCTATTCATTATTTCTGTCTCTTCTTGTTTTAGGACTACAATTACATATATGTTCAAGCATTTGATATTATTCCATAGATTAGATGCTTTCTTTTGTTTGTTTTTATTTTAGTTTTTTACTTTTTCCATTTTCAGGTTTTAGCTTGGTAATTTCTATTGACTCATTACAAGTTTACTGATTTTTAGTTTTGTTGACTACTGATGTACCTATAATGACATTTTTATCTGTTATCATATTACATTTCTATCACTTTTCATTTATTTTAGTTTCCATTTCTCTGCTAAAATTCACCAATGTTAATGCATATTGTCCACCTTTTCCATGAGTCTTTTACATATTAGTCATAGAGATTTTAAGTCCCCGCATAGTTCTGATACCTGAATGATCATTGTGTCTGGATCTTTTGATTACTCTGACTGTGGTTTTATACAATCAGATTTGAATGAGGCTGGTGAATATTACATAGAGAGAGGATATAAGCAAACCTCTTATGAGGTGGTTTCATTAGTTTAGGCAAGATATGATGGTGGCTGAACTGGGGTGGTAGTAAGTGGAGAGAGATAGCACAGAATGGATTTGAGACAGATTTGGAGTTATAGTCCATGAAACTTGGTGATTTGTCTGTGGTTGGCAGGGTAGAAGGTAAAGTCAATAAGATTCTTGAAATTCTGATGTTCAAATAGAAACAATGGAGGGGGACTTTTATGAGGATTAGTTGTGTTAACATAGCTACCCTTTTAGAATAATGGATTACACAAAATAAACATTATATGAGTATTTTTCATGATTAATATTATATTCAGAACATATATTAAACTTTATGTACCATCATATTCTATTTATGAAAATCGTGACAGCATTAAAAATATATTTTACTCAGACATTGGTTTTATTTCTATTCTGAGATAAAAAGAACCTATGAAGGGTGTACTGCCCATCCCATGTTGCCCCATTATTTGTATTATTTGTGTACAATTCAACTTAAATAGTATATATTTAATATGTGCTTGCTCTTTGCTAGCACTATGATAGACCTTGAGAAATACATATAAAAATTGTGATGTCTACCCTTGAAAACTTACCTTTTGGTTTTAGAGTTCAAATTCCTGTATTAATGTCTTTATCAACAAGAAAGATGATGATTATATTTTCTTATATGGTAAACTTTGGGCAATGTAAGGGTTGATGGAGAAGATGAGTTAAGGTATAGATACATTGACTGGTTATTTCCAACTGGTTCTATGAAATAGTTTGCTATATGGGGGAGAAAGAGCTATGCTGGAGATATTAATTTGGGATTACTGATATATAGAAGGCAATTAAATGAACTTGATGTAGTCATTACAGGAAACTGTAGTGGGGAAGTGGAGGGGGCTAAAAAGGGGAGCTTAAAACAACACTGAGAACTATCCACATTTAAGAAGAAACAGCAGGGGGGAAAAATCTCAAAGAAAAAGACATCAGGAGAAAAACCTGGGAGCTTAGAAGCACAGAGTCAAGAGAAAATGTTGATGTTTGTGTTAATTATATCTGAATAAAACTGGAAAAAAGGTAGAATATTGCCAGGAGGAAGGCATGGTTCACACTATCAAGTGCTGTAGACAGACCAAATTAAATAAGGATGAATAAATGTAAAGGGTCCACTCAATTTAGGTGACATATAAATGAATTAGTGGGGTCCTTCCTTGTGGTGCAAGGGGTTAAAACACAGCACTAGGGAGCTATCTGCAGCCACTGCAGCATCTGTTCGATCCCTGGCCAGGGAGCTGACCTACAAGGCGCAGCTGACATACAAGGCGCAGCAGACTCTCCTGACCACTCGCTGTTCCCTAAAGTGTACTTCAGTAGATCTCTGGTGAGTCCTCCCACCCTCTGCACCTCTGACCTGTCCCCAGTTCTTGTATGCATAAATAAATATTTTTAAAAAATGAATGAATGATTAGTGACTTCAGTAAGAGCAGTTCCACATGAGTGTGGGGAGAGAAGCCAGGCTGCAGTGAGTTCAGGAGCAGCTATGTGATGAGAGATTGTCCAAAATCTGAGAAATTTGGCTATTACCAAAAAAGGGAACAAGATAGATGTGTGAGAGAGATTGAAGGGGAAAATGAAGGGAGCAAGGGGAAGGAAAGTGACAGTGACTAATGAAGATATGATGTCACGTTGAAGACATATGGTAGACTTAAACAAAAAAAAAAAATCTGAACTATGGAACATTACTCAGCAATCAAAAAAGATAAACTCTTGCCTTTGTAGCAACATGGATGGAGCTGGAAGGGACCATGCTTAGTGAAATAAGCCAGAAAGAAAAAGAAAAATACTGAATGGTATATAGTTTGAACAACTATAAGCCAAAGACATTTTACAGGGGTGGAGTGGGGAATGAGATCAAAGATCAAAATGGGGGGCGGGGAAGTTCATGGGACTGTGGTGATGGCACATGGGTGAACTGGTGATGGGAAGCCCACAGGGATTACAACTGAGATGGGAAAAGGCACAAAATGATGTAAAAAGTAAACTATAATAAAAAAATGGAACTAGTGGAATTAGAGGAAACTTTAAAAAGTGGTTATCTTCAGGTGGTATTACAATGAGTTTTTTTTTTTTGACTAATACTTTTACAAAACTGCTCAATCTTAACCTTTTCATTGTCTTACCCACTTTCATAGGTCATCTTTATGTTAGGTTAGGTTTATGCTGGTCTCTTCTCCCTATGCCTTTCCCTGGGTGGTCTGTTGATTTTCCTTTAACATGGAGCATCCTCATTATCTCCCCTTTATTGTTCCTCATTAATCATTCTCCCATTTCTGTATTCCCTGCAACTTCATTATTTGTCATTGCCATAAGATTCTTTCTCAGAAAATTCAAATAAATACCTTTTAACATCATTTTTATTTTATATGCCCTCCTGACATCAGCTTTCTTTATCTCAGCACTGAGAACACAAACATTTGTACCTTTAATTTATTTCAGACTCTGAATCTATACCTGAGACCAAAGAGTCCCTTTCAAAGCAGAATGTTTATGAAGAAGTATCATCTGAAAGAGAACTGATAATGGAAAGACTTAAGGATGATTTCTGGGACTCCAGATTAATAGAAAACTGGGCATGTGAAGGCACATTAGAAAAGCAGCAAGGAAGTCAGAAAGACAATTTAAATCAAATCATAGTTAAACACAAGAAAAATTCTGTGGAGGATTGTAATGAAATTGGAGAAAGTTCAAACTCAATTAAACATAAGAAAGTTTACTCAGTGAAAAAGCCTTGGCAGTGCAATGAATGTGGGAAGTCCTTCAGTTACTACTCAGCCTTTATCCTACATCGGAGAATTCACACTGGAGAAAAGCCTTATGTATGTAATGAATGTGGAAAGGCCTTTAACCGAAACTCTTCACTTACTCAGCATCTGAGAATTCACACAGGAGAGAAACCCTATGAGTGTAATGAATGTGGGAAAGCTTTCAGTTATCGTTCAGCTCTAATTCAGCATCATATAATTCACACTGGAGAAAAACCCTATGAGTGCAATGAATGTGGCAAGGCCTTCAACCAAAGCACATATCTTATCCAACATCACAGGATACACACTGGAGAAAAACCCTATAAATGTAAGGAATGTGGGAAAGCTTTCAATGACACCTCATCCCTTATTAAACACCAAAGGGTTCATAATGGAGAAAAACCCTACAGATGTAAAGAATGTAGGAAAACCTTTAGTGACAGGTCAGGCCTTACTCAACATCAGAGAACTCATACAGGGGAAAAGCCATATGAATGTAGCGAATGTGGGAAAGCTTTCAGTTACTGTTCTGCTCTTATTCAACATCAAGGGACCCATACTGGGGAGAAACCTTATAAATGTAGTGAATGTGGGAAGGCCTTCAGTGATCGCTCAGCTCTTCTAAGACATCAAAGGATTCATACTGGAGAGAAGCCTTACAAATGCAAAGAATGTGAGAAAGCCTTCAGCCAGAGCTCTTCTCTTACAAAGCATCTGAGAACTCATACTGGAGAGAAACCATATCAATGCAATGATTGTGAAAAAGCCTTCAGCCAGAGTTCATCTCTTATTCAACACCAGAAAATTCATACAGAACTAAAACCCTGTAAACGCAAGAAATGTAAGAAAACTTTCAATGTCCATTCAGCTCTTTATCAACTTAAAGAAATTCATGATGGATCAAATGCAGTAAATTCTTGAAATAATAATGGCCACTGGGGGGGTATAGGCCAGAGAGGTCTGCTGTGCCATGTGGGTCAGCTGGGGATTGAACTCATGGCAGGTATCAAACTCATGCCACAGTAGTTGTGGATAGCTTGATAGTGCTGAGACTTAAACCCTGGCACTACCAGGGAGGCCCTATGTGTGTGTGTGTGTGTGTGTGTGTGTGTGTGTGTGTAGATACATGTATGTATATATGTATAGTTGTCCTAATGCTTCTTGTTGGCAGCTGCCACCACCTTTCCAGATCTCTCTGTCCCTCGGGTATCTGTTTGCAGCCCCCAATCTTGGCCCTTTTCCACCATTTTCAACCCCCTCTTCCCCCCCGCAGGGCTTGAAAGACTCAGCAGACCACACTCTTGGAGCCTCTGCTGATGTGGTTGGGTGTGACACCATTTCTCTTATGTTCCTCATTGATCTTGGTCACAGAGGCAATCCCATCTCCACCTGGAGGTACAGGGGTGAGCTGTGGAAGCAGTTCATGTGTAGTATCAGTTCTCAGCATAAGAAATGAGCTCTTTGGCCCTCCCTGGTGGCACAACAGGTTAAAATGCAGCACTGTAAGCAAGCCATAGCTGCTTTAGTGTGAGTTCAATTCTTTGCTCCAGAGGTGACCCTCCTGGTGGAGCAGACCTCTCCCTGCCTTTTCCACTGCTCCCCTCAGCAGTACTTTGCTGACCTGCCTGTTCTACTCTCCACTCGGTCTCTGGTGAATCCTCTCACTGCCTCTGGCCTGTACCCCAGTTCTGTATGAATAAGTGAATAAATTTTTGAAAAGATATATATATATAAGGAAATGAGCTCTTGGCTTGCTTAATAGTGCCTACCCTCTGAGGGACGTTCAGCTTCCTGGACTTTTTGAGGAAGGCTGCCAGAGCTCTGATCAAGTCCTGCTGGTTGACATCTTTCACAGAAGCTCCAGGCATTGTGTGGCCTCCATGCTGCCACACAATGCTGCTATATAGTTGTTAAAAGCAGAACTTGAATCATGCTATACATGAGTTTTGTTTTCTGCTTTAAAAGTTATAGGGAACGGGCCCTCCCTGGTGGCGCAGCGGGTTAAAGCACAGCACAAAGAAGCTTAAGCCACTTCCGCATGAGTTCGATCCCCGCCACCCCGAAGGTGACCCACATGGCGTGGCAGACCTCTCCTGACCCGCCCGCTGCTCCCCTCAGCAGTGTACTTCGTCAATCTGCCTGTTCTGTACCCCACTACCCCACTCTGTCTCTGGTGAATCCTCTTACCCTCTGCATCTCTGGCCTGTACCCCAGTTCTGTATGAATAAATAAATAAATCTTAAAAAAAGTTATAGGGAAGACTTTTCTATTTTAATAAATACTCTGCACACATGGATTTTTAATATTTGCCTAATATGTTTGTCTGCATTATTTAACATGCTATACTTGAACGGTCCCTCTATCACTGTTTAGTTTACTGCCTAATTTACATTGTTAGAACACAGCTGAACATCTCTGGTACATACAATTTTGTCCTTGTTTTCCTTAAGTTATTTCTAAGAGTGAAATTACCATACCTAAGATTAATATTGTTCAGGGTTTCAATAAAGATCGCCACATTTTTACAAAGATAGTGTCAGTTTTTATTCTCACCATACCTTTTGATAATTTTCCTCTGCCTCTTTAGATCCAAGGGGGGGTCACTCCAGGACATCTCTGTAGCTCACTAACCATCACATCCTTCTCCATGAGCAGGATTTCACTTTCCCAAACCAGAGGTGATCTGCCTGCTGAAACAGTGGGAAGAGCCGTGGATCCTGGACGTACCAAGAGCCGGGACTAGGGAGGCTTCCAGTACTTCTCAGGTGGCTGAGAAAACCCAGTTGAGTGGAAATCATGGAGAGGGACAGAGAGCCCCGTTAATAACCTCCCCTCCCCCGGTGCCTCAGATCCTGAGTCAGGTGTTTAGTAGTTGTTACCTCACTATTCACCCCTCATACCCTCTCAAGGTAACAGGTATGAGCTTCATCCTCATTTTCCAGATGAAGAAACTAAAGGTGTCTATCACACAGATTGATGTTTGGGACTTCCAGTAGGGAATGCTTACCTCTTTCTGCCAGAGCCAGGCACTTAGGCTGCTCTGGGCACTCCTTTATTTCACTCTCATTACTGAGCCTTCTATATACTTCTCTTGTTTTGTTTTTCATCTTCAGTATTTCTTGGTACATCTATTTTTTCCTCCTTACCATGACATGATTGCTGCTGCTACCTTGGTGCACATACTTCCTTCAAGTCCCTTTTCTAATCTTCTACTTTCTCCATTAAAAAAAAATTATTTATGCAAACAGAACTGGGGTACAGGCCAGAGGTGCAGGAGCGGTGAGAGGATACACCAGAGACAAACTGGGGAGCAGAACAGGCAGATTGATGAAGTACACTGCTGAGGGGAGCAGCGGGCAGGTCAGGAGAGGTCTGCTGTGCCATGTGGATCTCCTCCGGGGCAGGCGGGACTCGAACTCATGCGGAAGTGGCTTTAGCTTCTTAGTGCTGTGCTTTAACCCACTGCGCCACCAGGGAGGGCCCCCACTTTCTCCATTTTTAAGGAGTCATTTCTTTCGGAATTATTGAAACTATACTTACCTAGAAATAATAAGGTGCTACTTCTTTTGTATTTAGTGATACTGTAGGGTAAGCTGTTTTTCCATAATGCTGATGAATTTGTTCAGTTCTCACATTGTCTGTGCTCACACTTATGCTTTTTTGTAGCCAGCTGATGAAACACACCCACCATTAGGCTACCTCTGTCCCAAGGGAAAGATTTGAAAATCTAAAAAGTGAAATTCCCAAGTCAAAAGCTACATTTCAAGGTCAGCACAGATACAGAATATTCCCATTAGCACAGAAAGATTTGTTAGAGGGACAGAGAGACTCTGAAGACTTAAGGAGAGCTTGTGTTTGGTGCCATTTTCTTCATTACAACTAAATTACGTGGACTTCATTCCTCTATGTAAATGGCCACTGTAGAATGTTTGATTTGCTGAAAAAAAAATTGTGTACAACTCCTGAGACACAAATAGAGGTAGAATGGGCCTTGCCTTGGGAGAGAGAAGCCCCCACCTCAGGAGTGCAAGTACAGCTTCGGGGCCCTGTCTTCCCCAAGATGCTCTATAACCCCCCAGACCTAAAGCTCAGATTAGCAGTGGTCATGCTTGTTAACATACAGTAATATGGGAGAAGCTCCAAGCTGTGCAGGAAAGCTCAAGTTTGGCCTTTCCTACCTGTCTTATGGACTGTATGCACTATCCACCTTGCCTGGATAAGCTCAGCTAGCAGTTCAATCAACAACAGTGAGGAGCTGGCCTCAAGTCTAGACTAGTTCACTCTATTAGAAAAGGTACATCTTTTCCTGACAAAACCAGTGAAACTTTTTTTTGCCATATGTAAGTCAAGGAGAAAATTGACACAAATGTTATTTACCTACTTAAGCCAATAACACTAAACTATAACTTAGAAAGGATATATGTAAATGTAAATAACTAAAAATGTTATAAAACTTGATTATGTGCTTTCATTTTACACATCTAGTTTACAGTTGAGTGACTACTACAGCTTAGAGTATTTAAGAGTATTCATACCACCTGTTTGAGTCTGGATCTTTTTCAAATTCATTCTCAACTTTCACCCAGGTGGCTTCATTTGTTAGCATTTCTTAATGGAAAAGGTGACATTGGATGAAAGCCAATATAGAACAAAAAAATACATGGAATTATAGAGTAAATTTTGTAGTAGAAATAAATGATTTGATGGTAAAGTACATTTTAAGGGTGGTGCTCTGATTTTTTAAATTTATGGCAATTATTTATGTCACTATCATAAATATATTTTCTTCCACAAAAGTTTCAAAGTGCATATTGCTAGTATAAGTGAATCCATACTGATATCATTCTGAAATAACTTCAAATTTGCAAAGTCATAAAACAATACAGAAAACACCTGTAAGCCATCTACCCTGATTCACCAAGTTAATATTTTGCCACCTCTCTGTCCCATGTCCTCTTTTGGAATGTCCCCAAGGACATATCTGAAGCACTTCTTTATGTCCCTCACATTCAGAGGCCTCAAAAGAAAAGGAAAAAAAAAAAAAAAACAAACACGGTTTAGGCTATCAGATAGAACAAGAGCCCATATCTACCCACCAAAAAAAAAGCTTAGAGAAAGTTTAGTGTGGACGTCGTTTTTCAGAAACCAAGTGATCAAATAAATGACTCATGTTTAATAAGCTGTGCAAAGAATATATGAACCAGAATTAAATGTGTTTTCTCTTGCCTTTTTTGGAGACAAACAAAAAGTTATAAAACTGAAACCCTAGACTCACCAAATTGAGTCTATATGACATTTTTTAAAAAACGTCAAAAATACAGAGTGCCTCTTCTATGCACTGAGCTTTATAAGTGTATTAGATTGTAATGTATTTGGAATCCTTTTCATCTAAGTAGAAAGACAATTCTAAGTGACTAAAACACTTCCTTGGGGAAATAACTAGAGCGAGCAAGATCTGGTCCAAAGGCAGAACTACAGAGAGGAGGGTGACTCTGTCCCGTGTCAGCCCTTTCTCTTGTCACTGCCACAGAACTACCTCATCCTCTTGTCACGCTATTGTAAAACACAGAGATGAGTTAGAGTAAATCCTTCTTTGGGAGTGATGCCCAAGAAAAATATGGTAATGACTGAAAGACTCCAAATACCAAAGAATGTAGTTTCTGGACAATGAAAGGAATGTAATTTAAAAAAAAAAAAAAAAAAACAGTGAAGGCAGAAGCATTTCAGAAAGCTGGGACTTTATTTCTGTGGATTCTCTGATGTCGGATAAGGTGTGGACTCTGTCTGAAGCTTTCCCCACATTCAGGACATTTATAAGGTTTTTCTCCGGTGTGAGTTCTCTGGTGTGTGATGAGGGTTGCGCTCTGACTGAAGCGTTTCCCACAGACAGAACATCCATATGGTTTCTCCCCAGTGTGGATTCTCTGGTGTTTGGAGAGGTCAGAGCAGCGTTTGAAGCTCTTCTCACACTGTTCACATGTGTAGGGTCTCTCCCCTTTATGTATTCGCTGGTGTCTAAAACGGTTAGAAATACGGCAGGTTTCCCCACACTCATTACATTGATAGTGTTTCTCCCCTATGTGGATTCTTTGGTGCCTCTTGAGATGTGAGCTCTGTCTGAAGCTATCCCCACATTTGGGACATGTGTATGGCTTCTCACCTGTATGTGTCCTTTGGTGTTTAATGAGGGCAGCACTCTGACTGAAGCTCTTCCCACATTCCCTGCATTTGTAGGGTTTCTCCCCAGTGTGGATCCTCTGGTGTTTAAAGAGGTCAGAGCGCTGTTTGAATCTTTTCTCACAGTCATTGCACTTATAAGGCCTTTCCTCACGAACCTGCCTCTGGGCTTCAAAAAGGCCTGAGCCATGGATATGTGCCTCCCTGTCCACGGGTTTGTGAGGTTTCCCCACTTGATGTTTCACCATGTCTAAACCCTGTTTGCAACTGTCCTCATGTCTGACACCATCGCTGGGCCTCTCTGCTATCTGGACATGCTGACAAAGAAGCAAGTCTGAACCTCTGTTGCTGTTTCCAAATTCATCACTTTTGTAGTCTCCCTCTTCTGTGGAATCATTCTTGAGGCCTGACATATTGGCAACTCTTTGCTCTTGAGGAGAATGTTCAAGTTTCAGTGATGAAGGGTTTCCTGACAGTTTTTCTACTCCATCCTCATAAGTATTTCCACACTCAGAAAGTATGGGCATCTTCCAAACAGGCCCTTCTTGTAGCTGCTCCTGTGACTCTACTTCTAAAGTTTCTTGCTTTGGAATCAACTCTTTGTTCTCAGTTCTGGTTTCCAAACCTGAGATATTTAAAAAAAAGAAAACAAAAAACCTGCTGATATTTCATCCTTTTGTAAGAGTAAAATAAATAAGGCTAGTTGAAAACAACCCCCAAAAACCTTTTTAATATTCCACGTGAAACCACTGTTGAGGCAAAATTATTTTCATTAACCTATCAGATATGCTCACATTTGCTTTGCAAATATTTCCTTTCTTTCTTCATTTCATTTCTTTCCTGTCATTCTTATGCTTATATCCACCAAGTCTTGCCTACCCTTCTCCCCACCCCCACTACTGTACAAGCCAACATTTATGAGTGGCAGGTCTGGAAAGGGTGTCAAGAGGAGAGGTACAGACTATCCTGAGTGAAGGACAGTTTCACAAGAGTTGATTCAGTGATGAATTGTAGTTACTCAGGTGCCTGCAATGTCAGAAGGCAGGGTCTGGGTGGGAGATAAATCTAGGACTGGTTCAAAGTCTATAAAGGAACTGTCAAGTGAACAAATTCTATCTCCTCACCCAGAATTTTTAGTTTACTCTCCAGGGAAGCTAAACCACATACATTCTGGAACAGGTACCGTTTTCAAATTAGAATCAAGTGAAAACTGACACACCATTTAGTAAGACCTCAATGCACTCTGCTCTGGAATTAAACTGTTAGCTCCAAAACTTACATTCTCCAGGCAGAAAGGCACCCCAGCACCTACATAGCACCTGCTTCACTGCAGACACTCCATAAACATTTGTTGAATAGATCTGTCTATAGTAAGAGCAGTTCAGGTCAAGTCCTTGAGCTGCTGACAGATGAAATTCCCAGCACCTCCTGACTCACCCTATACTGAAGATTCCCTGTTCAGAAGTCCCACTCCCACACAGTTTCCTGTTAGAATCTCACATTTTGACTGTTAAGTACAAAGTGAAAGGTTACCAACATTTCAGAGAAACCTTTAATATAAATGCTGATTTAACTTACAATGTTTCAATTCATCAAAAGAAAATTTAAGGAGAGTCAAAGAAAAAAATGTTTAAAGAAAAAAATCTCTTGAAAATATTCATGAAAGCAGAAGTGTTTCAGTATAAGTATTGGAAAATAAAGCTAAGCAGATTTTCTAGAAAGTGAGACAAAGAAATAGGGGGGAAGAGAGGCCGGTTTACAGGATCAGCCTACCAGTTCTAACATTTCTACCCAAAGAAATCCCAGAAGAAAGTTTTAAAAAGGAAAAAAAAATAGATTTCTATAAAAATTTCTTGCAACTCAAAAACACAGGGTAGATCTACTTAGAACAATGAATTAAAAAAACCCTTGTGCTTGACCCTCCCTGGTGGTGCAGCGGGTTGAGGCACAGAGCTGAGAAGCCAAGGCCACTTCCACATGAGTTCGATTCCCGCCAGCCCTGGAGGTGATCACATGGCGTGGCAGACCTCTCCTGGCCTGCCCGCTGCTCCCCTCAGCGGTGTACTTCGTGGATCTGCTTGTTCTGCTCCCCACTCTGTCTCTGGTGAAGCCTCTTGCCGCCCCTGCACCTCTGGCCTGTACCCCAGTTCTGTACGAACAAATAAATAAATCTTTAAAAAAAAAAACAAAAAAACCCTTGTGCTAAGTGACACCCATTGTCAAATTTCTTAGCAGCAGGACCGTTTTAAAGGCTTCTACATGAACAGATCATACAACAAGGATAAGTCATCACAATGACATCTGATTTCTCAATCACCCCATGGCAAACTAGCTAGAAAATTCACTGTTTTCATAGTATGAAATATATGTGTTAAAAATTAAACTGGAGTTACGTGTAACAACATAATAGATAAATCTGGAAAATGTGATGTTGAGAAAAAAGGCAGTATATAAAAGAATCATAATGATATAATTTATATCTCAAAAACATTAAAAACACTAATGTATGCTTACATGTTATATATTTACACATTTAACTCATATTTATGTCTACATGTATACATTTATCTATCGTTTATCAAGAATGTTGCTATGTATATACGTAGAAGAAAGCACACATGGAAATGTGACACACATAGGACATTGGTCTGCTCCAGAACACTGATCGGAACCTTACGGATGGAACCAGGCCTTCACCCATAGCTGTAACGTAATTATTTCTTTGAAAGACAAGTTTGAAGCCACTATGACCAAATATTAAAATCTGGTAAATCCAGATAACAGAAACACAGGTGCCCATATTTTTCAAAATGTTTTCTGCATGTATTTTATTTTAAATGAACCCAAATTAAAAGCTGAATCTTTCCCCTAATGAGACAGAACCGCTGCGTGGGTCACAGAAGAGACGCTAAGGCTCACCTACCTGTGACCAGCAGAAGGCCTCCGGGTCGCACAGAACCAAGAGCATCACAAACACAGGCAGAAACAAGCCAGCCACAGCACTTACTCGGGGAGACTGTGTTTCTGGGGGAGTGCCACGGTTTTGGTGCACTCTCCCTGTAGAAGTCCCTCTGAGCTGGGTCCAGACGTTCCCACTCTGCCCAGGTTAGAGTCACAGCCACATCCTCCACCGTCACCAACCCCTGAAACAACATGAGACCCCCACTCAGTCCCTGCTGGCCCAGGAGAGTCTAGTGTCTGGCCTAGGGGAGGCTGCAGCCCTGAGAATCAAGTAACAGCCAGGGCCACTGGGTCATTTCCAGTGAGGCCTGCATTGCCAGGAGTTTTAGAGTGACTAAAGACTGAGGCGAGTGTTCTTTTGCAATCCTGAAAAGTCAGTGTGTGGAGAGTCACCACTAACTTAGGGGAGGAGCTAATACTCATTTGAGCTCAGTCACTACAGTTTATCAAAATGGAAACCTGAAAGAGATTAAAAATAGACATATAACCAGAAAGTCCTATGTTCCAAAGCTGGCTCCTCATGTGTGAAACTGCTACAAATAGCTAGCTAAACAGGATGCAGGCTGCTCACCTATAACTTGTGTTCAGTAAAATGTCCTTTCCCACACTTTGACCAGTGTAAAATAAAATAATTCAGATGATCTTTTGAGATGGCTAACTTAAATGTGAGTAAATCACTCACAGAAGTTAAAGGCAAAGTTCTTAGAAAAGGAAGATTCTAAAACCGGCAAAGGGAGATGACTGTCTCAGTTCCAGTGATGGGTCACAATCTGAACCCAAGGGTCTCTGGCTCACTGACAGGGTAGGAGAATGTATTTTTAAATCTTCTCAATGTCTTGATATCTTAAAAAAAATCCAACAAACACCTTTCTGACTGGGGAGATTGTCTTTTAGTGCTAGCCAATTCTCAGAGCAAAGGGCTCAGCTCAAAGGTGGGTTCATTCAGATCCCAGACCACCTCTATCATGCACCCAAGGGATAACTGACACTCCTTGGCCTTGATCATCCAGGGCCAGGGACCAGGAGGCTAGAGTTTCCACCTTGCTGCAGTTATTCAGATTAGCTAATCTGGTTCACTGTGTCCTACCTTGCCTTCCCCTTCCCAACCACAATGTAGGTAGGCTCCGGCCTTAATCTTCCCCTCCTTCCAGTTATCTGCCTTTTGACTGCCCTGGTGTCTTTCCCATGAGACTCTGCATGACCCATGAGGCCTCTTGTCTCTAGGACAGTGTATAATGACATTTATTTCTCTGGAGTCTCTCCTGTCTCTTTGTAAAGGAAAGGTACATTCCCATTCGCCCCCTCTGCTCTCAATACTCTGAAAGCCCATCACCACACCACTTCCCCCCTCACATCAGATCTGTGGGTTTTCCATATATCAAGTAATTCTGTGACACTAGTGGGTAGCCTATGGTTTAAATCAACACTGACACTACCTACTTGAGATGGCATCAGATGCCACAGGTTATGGGCTCAGTCCTCCAAGACTGCTCTCATATCATATGCCAATAACAAATCCAGTTTGTCACCTGGAGTTGAAATAATTTGTCTGAGTGGCTCCAGGAAAAGTTTACTCACTTGACCAGCTTGTCATCAATGGCTAGACATTGATGCCTAGAACAAGATATGTTCTGGAAGGGGCAGGAACTTGCCTACTTGCTCTCAAAGCATAGGCTGCTCCCCTGACAGTGTTAGCAATTTTGTAACTCTTACAAAGGCTCCACCACACAGGTATAACTGATGAAAACCATTGGCCACTGGTGGCAGGGAAGCCTGGGAGGTGAAGGGTGAAAGTTTCAATCCCCTAATTAAGGTTGGTTCTCCTGGCAACCTGCCCCCCACCTTAGTGGCTTTCCAAAAGTCACCTCAGTAACAAACAGCTGCATTTAAAGGGGTTGTGATGAATAACAAAAACACCCATTTTACCTTTGTTGCTCAGAGACAATGTTTGGACAGATATTTGGGCAAAATCCAAATATTACAACAAAAATGTCTAAAAAAGTTAACTAGCCTTATTTAGTTTGCAGCAGCTGAATGGGATGAAATAATAAACAAAAATATAGGGTCAGATACACTGGCTATCCCTCATTGAATTTTTAAAGTTTACAGCAGTATTATAATAACTGTAATTATATTGAATCTGTTTTGGTGAAGACGCCCTAGTGCAAACTCTCTATGGTAATGTTTGTAATTTGAAAAAATTTAGGTCAACTCACAGTAGAAATCAACTCACTTCTCTATGTCTCTCCTTTACTGTTCACACAGTGCTTCATGTCTGACACTTCTGGTCACCAATGTACAAGGGTTTTCCTTCCATCAAGCAATTCTGCAATGCCACTGGGCGTATCTAGCAGGAGGTGGCATCAGATCACACAGCTTAAGGACACAGTCCCACAAGACTGTCTCCCCTTTTCAGATGCTAATTCTAAGTAGCAGGTCCCAGGTTACCCACAACTTGCACAACTTGGCTACAAATGTTCCTCTGCCTCTCCCACCAGATTATTTGTTATAACAACTCACAGAACTTAGGGAAACACTTATTTAAGCTTACTGTTTTATCATAAAGGGTCTGATAAAAGATACTGATGAAGGGATCCATAGGGCAAGGTCTGGGAGGGGCCCAACTGCAGGAACTTCAGCATAGCCACCGCTAGCTTGGGGGTGCCCTACCATCCAGACAGATGGGTGTGTTCCCCTATGGGAAGCCCTGACCCCATGCTTTGGGATTTTCATGGAGTTTCATCATGTAGGCACGATCAGTTATTAACTCCACTTCCGGGCTCTTATCAATTGTGAAAAGCTGGAGCTGTCAAGTAGTTAAAACGTAAAACAGGACTCAAAGCTGTGGGGAACTGCTATTCTAGCACACCTCTTTTTAGGACAGAAGCCCACTTTTCGTCCTGACTTCTTTTCCAATTACCTAATTAGACAAGAGGGTGTCTTACAAAGAATGAACTGTACTCCATGCGGAGAAATCCACATCAGGATCTTCTCCTGTATGTATCTTGTCACTGCGCGCGTCACTTTACGCACATCCTACAGTTCACACAAAGGAAAGAACATCCGAAACTTACGGCCAGGTACATTATCACCACCAGCACACCTTCATTCCTCACCTGCGCCGAAGGGCCATTAAGCGGTCTCTGAAGAGCCCGCACCACAGCCGCAACGTCCTCCCCGCTCTCGGGGCAGTGCTTCCGCACCCAGGCCTGGAGCTCCTGGGGCAGGATGGTGAGGAACTGCTCCATTACGAGAAGCTCCACGATCTGCTCCTTCGAGTGCATGTCAGGCCTCAACCACCCCCGACAGAGTTCCCTGAGCCGCTTCAGCGCCTCTTCGGGTCCAGCCACCTCCTGGTAACGGAACTTCCTAAAATGCCGCCGGGAAGTTTCGGGATCTTGACTGCTCAGGGCTGGGTCAGACTCCAGACCTCCGGGGGCGTCTTCCTCCATTTTCACTATCAACAGTCCATCACACAGAGGCTGCGCGGCGACCCTGGACCTCGTAGTCCCCATCCAGGTCTCCGTTTCAACATCACTGCCTTGACTTGAGCTCAAGATCGAACTCATGTTTCTTCGCCACGTGCTGACTTTCAAGGAGTTTTACGTTCAGGTGGGAAGACTACAAACTCTGCAAATAGCCCAGTAATTCATCGGCCCCGGCCAAAGCAGGGGCGCAAGGCTGACGGCCAGATCCCAGTAGCAAGGCCCCCACCCCACGCGACCCCCTCCGTGCTCCTCCCACCCACTTCTACCACCCGCTTCCACCACCCGCTTCCACGCCAGACCAGGGGAAAAAAAGGAAAAACCCAAACCCGCAGCCCGGGCCGGAAGTGCGTCTCCGACTTCTTACTGCCCACCCCTCCCGGGCGTTTCCGGAGCTCTCTAGGCTCCTCGGAGGATTGAGACTCATCTCTCTGGTTTGCTGTCCTAGCCCCTTCCAGAGTTACTGTAGACGTGCACCTTGCCTTGTGGAGTTTGTGGTCCTTTCTGTTACCGAACTAAAGGTTAAGATTCTTATAAAAATTGAATGTCGTCGTTTATCACATAGTTTGTGGAAAACTCAAAATTAACAAATTCAAAATTTGTAAATTTTGTTTTAGGGAAAGTTAAAGGTCTGACTTTACAATGAATGGCAAACAATTATCCATAAGGGTATTCTTTTATGAAAGAAAGGTTTATAGGGTATATAAAAGGTTTCTATATGCCAAAGCATCGTGCCTGATGCTACACACACAAAACTGGAAAGAAGACAGTGCCTATCCTCAAGTTGTTCCCTGTCTCCCGAGAGAGCAGCAATTTAAATTCTTACAGGACAGTGTGGTAAATGAGGTGTATACTGTGTGCAGCTGTATACCCAGATTTGAAAAATAATCAGTTATGCCTGATGGGGAGAGGGCAATGAAAGACTTCACAGAGGAGAGTAAGGACTGAATGTATATTTTAATTCAAACATGTTAGAGGTAAATTTATAGGCACTATGTGGCACATTATGGTTTCCGGCACCCAGCTCCACACAAACCCCTCACACTCAGCTATGCGAGTTGCCACTGGGGCCCTCCATGGTGGCACAGTGGGTTAGGACATAGCACTGCAAACCAGTCGCAGTGGCTTCAGTGTGAGTTCGATCTCCAGCACCAGAGGTGACCCACCTGGCGCAGCAGACCTCTCCTGTCTTGCCCACTGCTCCCTTCAGCAGTGTGCTTCATCGATATGCCTATTCTGCTCCCCACTCTGTCTCTGGTGAATACTCTCACGGCCCCTGCATCTGTGGCCCGAACCCCAGTTTTGTATGCATAAATAAATAAATCTTTAAAAAGAAAAAAGAAAGTTGCCACTGATTTTGGTCTATTCTAAGCTTAACTCCTCTGTCCTACCATTTACTTCCTCTCCACTTTTAAATACTGGCATAGTCATGAAAAAATTTTGTGAAGCACTTTTAATCAGGATTTGGGCAGCATAATGGTAATTGAATCTTGTCTAAGGAGCGCTCTTTTTAAAATATCTTCTTTCATTTTTGTCTTCTGCTGTGCAAGCAACTCAAGGTGTGCACACACCCACAGGAGGGAGGGCTACATTAGGCCTTGATTAGAAATGCAGAATTTCAAGCTTTGTTCCTCACCTCCTGAATCAGAATCTTCATTGTCAAAATCCCCAAGTGATTTATGTACTCAATTAATTTTGAGGAACAATGATCAACTGAACCTTTCTGACCAGTATAAATTAAATATTGAGTTCACATAGAAATTCTGAGCATGCACACAATCTTTTGTTATCTGTGTTGTAGTTCTCTGCTATTGGGAAACAAGTATTTTGTGACAAGATATGATGATGAAGAAATCTAAGGGAAATCTTAGAAAGACGGAGGCTCCATTGGCAGACATATTGTTCCAAAGCATTTGAAACTATTTTAAAATAACTTGCAACAGGACTAAACGACAAATTGTAATTGTGGTTATTTTTTAAATTTTTATTTAAAAATATTTTATGATGCTTTGACTTTGGCCCCAAAACTCTACCATATGTGAGCGTAACTCTTAAGTATAATATGTGAAACTCTGCACAGTCCTAAATACAAAAAAAAGTGAAACTCTACAGATACTAAAATACACCATAGTGTCAATATAAGCTACTCCTGCTAAAGATTTTTCTGGAGGTAAGAGGCGATTTCCTGAATTTCTTCATTCTCATTAGGATCCGGTACTCTATAGACAGAACTTTTCCCAGCGTATTAGAGTCGGTGTGCTTTTTAGATGCAAAGTGGAGTCGGCGAGGCTCTGTTTCGCGAAGTGTTACAGGTAATACTAACTTTTGTAAACACACTTAAAAATAAGAAATTATTATGAATAGTAACTTCTTGGCCGGAGAAGCTCTGTATCAACCTGCATCTCTTCGCACGGTTACCAATGTTCAGCGCCCATCTCCAAGAAGGACTACAGAACCCGACACACACTGCCTACCCGGCTAGAGGTGCCGGAGACGCCAGAGGAAAGGTTTCCCCGCTCTCCTTCATCCTGATAGGTCCTAGACACTGAGGCTGCAAAGAGAGCTGCGGTCCTATTGGCTAGAGGGTGCGGCCCGCGCGGGGCACCCTGGGAGGTGTAGTTCCGGGAGCCGCTAGTTCCAGAGACCGGCTGGTCTGACGTTGGGGATTTCGGCCCCAGGCGCTGACGCGGTGGCAAAAGAGGTGGGTATGTCCGGAGACAGGATGAGAAGAGTGGCGCTAATTCCGGTGAGGACACGGAAAGGTCAAATATTAGAAGGGAGGGGTTGTGGGTTCGCAGGCAGACCTGCTTCGAAATGGGGCGTAGAGCTCTGGGGGTTGAGGGCGCGTAAGTTCCACGGCCAATCAGACATTAGCAACTGTCGCCTTAGCAACCGCTGGACATCTAAAGCGCTGCCCCCGTTGCATCCCAAGGAAAGGGAAAGCGCTGTTTCAACGGCTTCGGGACGGGTTGGGGTCCGTTTTCTCAGCGCGTTCCGCCGTGACCGCGGCTCCGGTGGGCGGGGAACGGCGGAGTTACTCGAGTAGGACTCGGAGCCGGTCGGCTCCCCATCTCCCGGCCGATTGGTTGGTGGGCCTTCAGGGCGGGGCCAGGGTGGGTACTTCCCGCCTGTTGCGAGGCGAGGACCTCCGGGATTCCTAGAGAGGACTCGGAAGTGCTGTGGGGCTGGGATTTATGGTTGGACTGGGAAAGCTTGGACTTGCTTACTTCCGGTGAAGAAGTGTTGCGAAGTGTGGGCTTCGGTTTTCTCGCGGTTTGTTAAAAACCCATCTTCCCAGCCTTGAGTGCGGGAGCTTCCGAGGAGAAGCTCCCCGCGCCTGGGCCTTGATGAAAAGGGGTGGGTTTTGGGTCCAGATGGGAGTCCTGAAACCCGTAACCTGGATCGGGCCGGTCCTCGTGTCTCCAGGTCAGGAGCGATTCCGAGGAATACAGGTCCAAATTCGTACTTAAAATTCTCCTTTTTTCGGGACCAATGAAATCGCCCATTGATTTGTCGTGCTCTTGCGGCTTGAAGGACAGGACTAATTTTGACCGTGGTAATGTTTTGGACCCCTGTTCTTACTTAAGTTTGGCTTATGGTAGTGAGAAGGAGCAGCTGCGTCTGGACTAGTTAGTAAGTTTTGTCTTACTATTTATACGACATTTAATGTCTTCAGCACTAAGATTGTGTTTGAATAGGACTAATGTCAGATATTTTTATAGTTCTCCTTTACCGTTTTTGAGCTATTGGAAATATTCTCTATTAGTAATTATGTTGTGGGGTGGAGTAATAGCTGTCTTGTGATCCATATTTCCAAATAAATTACTCTATTGAGTGGTCGCCTTTAGTATAGATGACCTCTCTGTCAGTTCTTTGCTAATAATAATTTCCAATATATCAGTAGGTTGAACACTAATGAAAGTGACCTTCACAAGATCTTAAAGAGCTGAAAACAGATTTGATCTGTGGATAGAGCTCACCTGGAGAGACATCCCTCTGAGTTGGAATGATAATGACAGGATCTGGGGAAGTTATAGACTTAGACCCTCCATCTGAGATCTCACAAGAGCAAGAAGACCTTCTAATAGTGAAGGTGGAAGAAGAAGACTGCACCTGGATGCAGGAGTACAGTCCACCCATGTTTGAGACTTTTTACCAGCGTTTCAAGCACTTCCAGTACCATGAGGCATCTGGCCCCCGGGAGGCACTCAGCCAGCTCCGGGTGCTCTGCTGTGAGTGGCTGAGACCCGAGTTGCACACCAAGGAGCAGATCCTGGAGCTACTGGTCCTGGAGCAGTTCCTGACCATCCTACCTGAAGAGTTTCAGACCTGGGTGAGAGAACATCACCCAGAAAGTGGAGAAGAGGCCGTGGCAGTGGTAGAAAGTATACAGAGAGAACTAGAGGAACGCAGACAACAGGTGAGTGGAATAAGAGACTTAATAACAATGAGGAAGGAGCAGAAGAAAGTTAAGGAGCTGCTGAGCAGGGGTGAAATCTTTAGCACGCTGGTGCTTCATTCTATTCTTTTGTTCTCCTGGGATTAGGTACACTGTGGAGATTTCCTGCCACTCCAGCAAAGAGAAGCAGTATCCAGTGTGTTAACCTGGAGAAGACAATCTGCGATTTTATTTATTTTTAAAATTACTATGTTTATTTTTTGAATGACATGATACAAAATTCAAAAGGTACATAAGGTTATAATGAAAAGTAAGTTTACTTCTAATTCCCTAACTCCCAGATGCCTTATTCTCCCACAAAAGGCAACCATTGTTACGTGATACTTGTATATCCTTACAGATATACTGTTTTCTGTATATTAAATGTATATGACATACTTAAAAACATGTTTTCAAATCACTGTGCACTCCTGCCTCTTGCTTTTTTTCTTATATCCTTTTTTTTTAATATCAGTGCAAATAGAACTACCTCACTCTTTGACATTGCATTACTCCATTGTATGAATGTACCAGTATTTATTTGACTCCTATTGGGGCCCATTTAAGTTGTTCATTTAGGTTGTTTCTGAATTTTTACTACAACAAACTTTGCTCCAATGAATCTCCTCCTTATCATTAATTACACAATGAATGCTTGGAAGTCAAGGTGTTGGCTTAGCAGCCAGAATCATTTTCACTACTGACAGATAGCACTCTGTAGAATTATACCAATTTATATTCCCAACAATGTATGAGAGATTTTTTTACTCGCAGCTTGATAACTTGATACTATCAAACTTTTGATTATTGCCAATTGAAAAGATGCAGTATACCATGTCTGTGCAATTGTAATATGCATTTCTCTTATTATGAGTCAGTTTGACCACAGTGCATATTTTACATATTTTAAAAGGTCATGTGTCCGTCCTTTTTTCTGAATTGTCTTTTTACATTACCTGTTATAAAAAACAAAAAATGTGTCTGTCATCCAAATTGTGTTATTTTTTTCAGTTGTACTGCTTCTTGGCTTTTGGCTAAGCTCAAGTGTATTATCTGTTCTTATCTTTAATGTTTTTTTAGTTGTTTGTCTTTGCTTATGGAAACTTTTGCTTTGCAGGGTTTTTTAAAAATATGTGATCTTTTATGGTTTTTGGGTTTTGTGCTATACTTACAAAGACTTTTGTCACTATAACATTACGAAAAACTTGTCTCCTTAAAAAAAAAAACTTTTAAATGATCAATCATTTGGATTTCATGTTGGGGTAGGAGGTTTAGTATATGACTGCAACTTTTTATCCAAATTTCTATGCAGTTGCCGAAGTAACTTCTAAATTTCTCCCCTTTCTTACTAAAATGCCACCTTTATAGATACAAATTTCTGCAGGCATTTGGGTCCATTTCTCATCTTTCTATTTTTTATCAGTATTTTAGTTATTTGAGTTCTGTAAATGTTTTGCTATTTGATGGTGTTACCCTCTCCTCTACCAAAAATTCTGCATTATTTTCTTTTTCCTTTGAGCTTTAAAATTGCTTTTTAGTTTCCAACAACCTAAAAATCCTGCTGGTATTTTTGTTGCAGTTGCATTTAAATCATTTATCAATTTAGGGATGATCAGTATCTTTATGTTCTTTCTTACTCGTTTGGAACCTGGCCCTCTACCTTCCTCTTGTTGCTAGTTTCACACTCTCTTAAACATTAATTTGTTTTTATAGCAAAGAATTGAAATCATAGGTCTACAGGCATTTGAAACTAGTTCAAAATTTTCCCAGTCTCTACTTCATTAAGGTACATGTCTCATTATTCCTCACCTTTGTGTGAGGGGACCATCTCAGTATCTTCAGCTGGTTTAGCTCAGTCCACACCACAGTGCAGGAGGGAGTTGCTGCTGACCCATGCCCAGGTCTGCAGTGGGGGCAAACAGAATTTGGAACCTTTCTGTCACTTCTGCCAGGACAGGAAGGAGGTGGTGGTTCATTGTGATGTCCAGTTGGTTAATTTTTAACCTAACTTGGGACACAAATGAACAAACTTCCCTGCTTTTTTATAGGAATGAATATTCAAAAACATAGTTCAAAACAAAAAGAACCTTTAAAATAGATTTGCTACAGATATTACGCATTTACTGTTCCTTGTGATTTGCAGTCCATCTTTGGAAGGGCGAGAGCAAATCCATTCCTTAGTAGTAATCAGGGATTTAGGACCCACAGCAGGGATTTGCCTTAAGAGCCTCAGCTGTCTACTTTGCTTGCCTCTCTCTCTGCCTGCTTTTTGTGTCCTACATTGTTCTCTAGCTTTATTCCCAGCGGTTCTTGTTTCTGGCGTGTCTTTTTCTCAGATTGTATTCTTTACACCTTGGTTTCACTGTCCTGGTCTCAGACTCAGGGCTCCTTTGCTTCTTGGGTGCCCCAGTGTCCTCTGACATACTTGGCTTGATCTTAGTTCTTACTCTGAGCAGGTCCACAAGGGCACACACACTGCATGCAGAGTGATGTTGGTCACTGCGGTTTTGCAATTGCCTCCTAATGTAACATTTGCCAGAGCTGAGAGTGTTATGTTTTAAAGTGCTTTGAAACATAAGAGAGAGGGAGCAGGGAAAGGAAGCCAGCAATGGCAGTTCTATCGAGGTATCAAGGCAGGATCTTAACTACCTGCCAGGATGCAGCTGAGCTAGAACCTTCCAGAAGAGGCAGATTTTAAGAGACTGGTTGAGGCAGAGTAGTTGTAGCCTCGGGTTGAACAAGACCCAAGAACAGAAAGGTGGAGTACGGCAGCCAGACACGAAGTAGCACAGTTGTTGTTATTGGTCTGTCTTACTTTAACATGGAAGCAAGCATGACTTTCTGAGTCCTCTTTTGACCTTTCCAACCTCCTTTCTCACTTCTCTCCTTTACTAAACGTGGGCCATATTGGCTTTTTTACAATTCCTTCTTCCTGCCTGATGGTTTTTGCTTATGTTATTACTCTGCCTGGGACACTTCCTGCTTTCCTCCAGCTGGCTGCTTGTCCTCTTTTAAGTGTTTTCTTTAGTACTTTCTCAGAAATGCCTTCTCTGACCACCCAGTCTAAAGGTGGTCTTATCTGTACTGTCTCACAGTGTCACTTTCTTGTCCCTTCTGACATACAACATGATTGTAGCTATGTATTTATTTGTGTTGTGTTTAATGAAGTCTTCAACTAAATGTAAATCATGTTTATTAAGCCCAGTATATCCTCAGTGCCTGTCTCATTGTAGGTGCACTTGCATTATTTCGCAAAGGAATGAGTGAAAGAATAGTGTGAAATTGCTGACTTTTTCACGGCCTTCTTTGTAATGTGCTGATTGGTGTGGTTGTGCTTGGTAGATTGTGGCATGTCCTGAAGTGCTTCCTCAGAAGATGGTACCGCCTGGGCCTGTGCAGGAGTCCTTGGCTCAACCGCTCCTGTCCGTGGACATCCAGCCTGAACAAGAGTCACAGAAACCTCATCTTCTAGAGGATAATGGTGAGAATCAGCAAGTCAGTGGAACAGATATGGCTAGAGAGAGGGTGCCCTGGTCATGGCGGGTAAGCAGTATCTGTGAGAGAGACTGGACTGCCAGCCTTTCTGCAGTCAGATCTGGAGGTCAGGAAGCATTGGGAACGTAGACTGGAGTGTTGAGGGGTCAGCTTTAGAATGGCTGGGAACTGTACAGTCTTAGTCAAAAGCTTTAATTGCAGATGGTGACTGTAAACACCAGCATTCTTAAAAGGTTGAAAGAAGTCTTTTTCAAAAGTGTCATAATGACTGTGCAACAGTTCCAACTCTGTCACATAGATTTTGTCTTCAGGCTTATATGAAAATGGTTTCTGGCTTCTCATTGTACTGTGTTCATTCCTGACTGTTGAGTGTGCACCTTGAAATCTTATTTGAAGCAGCTTTACAGCGACCCTTAGAACATTTGTTCTTTCTCTATTCTAATTAGTCAGCTAGTTAGCTAATTAGTTAACTAGTCAGCCAGCTAGTTGGGTAGTTAACCAGATAACTAGGTAGTTATTTGACTGGGTAGGTAGTTAGCTGGCTACTTAGTTAACTAGTTAGCGAGGTAAACTAGTTAGCTAGCTAAGTAACTTGTTTGTCAGTAAACAAGTGTCTGGAACTGTTCAAAGTGCTTTACCTGTATGAACTCATTTAGTGTTCATATCAATCAGTGTAGCAGGAAAAATAGTCCTCACTATTCATCATCTGGGGGCCAGTGGGCTATTTTTTTTTTTTTAAGCTATTTTGTGAATACTTTACAGGAGAATCAAAGGATAATAAAAAATAACTTCAAGAAATGTTAATAATAATAAAACTTTTGTATATGTAAGTGCATTACATCAGAAGAGATGAAAGAATACTGCCACACAGTACTGTCCATTTCTCAAAATGGATATTGTCCTTTGAGCAAAATGGAATGTTCCAGAATCTTGTTGCAAAATAAATTGTTCTTGTTGAATGACACTCTGAATGAGACTGTCCTATTTCCTTTTTGAAACTAGAGGTTGAGTCTTCCTCACTGATACTGAAGATTTAAGAAAATTCATCTAGGATATGATCATTTGCAAATTCAATCTAAGATTTCTCTTAAACTTTCAGTTTCATCATTGCCATTGTGTTGCTCATTGTCTCATTCTAATCATCTTCTCATTCTTCTAGTAGAATCAAGTATCTTTCTCTGCAGATCTTATTCCCTCTTTGATGACCCTTTTTCTTTATTTTGCCACTTTCTTGTTTTTTAAATTTTTTTTGTGGCATTGTTGTAGTAATTAGTGAAAGATGATTAGTAAAAGTGAAATTATTTCCTAGGATGATGAAATAGAAAAATCTTTCAAGTTACAGGAAAATTATATTCTAGGTTTGTAAAAAATTCCAACGATCCATGTACATATTACAAGATACAATAAATATCCTTTTTGATCTTCAAGAGACCTCTAAAAGAACAAAAGGCTTGCAATTGTAGTCCTTAAAAATAGTTAAAACTGTTTGAAAAATAAACCAAAATTGTGCCCAGCAGACCTAGTTGGCACACCATGGATGAATGCTCATTTTCACCCCATGGAGTTGGGGTTATCATTACTCTCATGTTAGAAAAGAGCTGCACCTAAAATGGAATAAAGCTTTCATGTCTGCCCTCTCCGATAGATAGTAAAGTGTTTGAAAGCAAGCGTTGTTTCATCTACTTATTCCTATAAAACTCAGATTAGACTTGATACTAATGACTGACTGTAAACCCACCATACTAATTCTCGAAGGGAGAGAATGTGGACTAAGGTCTAGCTAATCAAAGTACATTCCAAGGAATAGCAGCACTAGCAGCACTTGGGAACTTGTTAGGAATGCAGACTGTGGGACCTATGGCAGACCTGCTGAGTGAGCATCTGCCTGTACCAAAATACCCCCTCCTGTGGAAAGAGGTTTGCTCCTTAAAACTTGAGAAACTCTGAACTCTTAAGTGCTTCATGGACAATGGACGATGTGACTTGGGTATTCTTTGGATGACTAGATTTGATCTTGGCAGAGCAGAGCACATCCTTCCAGAGGAGGGAATTAAGTACAAACTCATGATGGGTTTGCTGCAGGGAGTAACCTAGATTAGGGGAGAAAGGGTTGGATTGGCAGGGGCCTGAATATAGAGGATCTTGAGCGTCAAGCAGAAGAACTTAGCTTTGATGCACAGACCACCATTGTGGATTCTTGAGCAATGGCTGAACATGATGGCATTGGGAACTGGGCAAAGATTCTCACTGACACCTCTTTTTATCCTCCCCCAGTCCTTCCTGCTCTCCAAGTTTCTTCCCTTCCCCTGAAGGACAGCCAGGAGCTGACTGCCTCTCTCCTCTCAGCTGGGTCCCAGGTGAGCTGGCGTCCCTGTGCCCGCCATGAGGACCCATATCTACTCTTGCCTTAGCCCTGAATCTGTCAAGAGTTCTGTCTCTTTAGTTAGAGACCAAGCCCATCATGGGTTTGTGCTTAACTGCTTTTTCCCAGTACAAACCTGTTCTCCCTGAAGCATAGTTCCTGCCCCTGTTTCTTTCTTTTAGTGTTCCCAGATCTTAATCTAATTCCAAAGGTGAACATAGGGAGTGAGAATTTAGTAGCGATCTCATGTTTCAGAAATTGGTGAAAATTGAAGATGTGGCTGATGTGGCTGTATCCTTCATCCTGGAGGAATGGGAACATTTGGATCAATCCCCGAAGTCCCTCTGTAGGGGTGACAGGAAGGAGAATTATGGGAGTATTACTTCTGTGGGTAAGAATAATTTCATCCAAATGGATTAGGACATCTTAATTTTGTTTTAAAGAACATTTCTAGCACATCCTAGAAAGTCATTATGCTTCCTTTGCTATGAATGTTTTTATTTTTTCTGTGAATTTGTAAGTCAGCATTCTCTGATTATCTCCATCATGATAAGGATGTGCTTTCAAATAGTACTTGCAATGCAGGTGCCATCTTCTCATTGCTCTAAAAGCACTTAGGAGTGACAGGTTTAGGTTTTAACATATTTGTAGTAGTTATAGTCCTCTATTCCTTGCCATATTAAATAGTTCTTAACTGAATAATTCTCCATTATGAAGTCATCTTGGACTTGCTAAATAACAGGTTCTTTTGTTTTTTTTTTTTTTTTTAAGATGTGTTTATTTTTATGCATACAAGAACTGGGGTATAGGTCAGAGGTGTGTATGGGGGTGTGTGGGGGTGAGAGAATTTACCAGAAACAGAATGGAGAGCAGGACAGGCACATGTACTGATGAGGAAAGCAGTGGGCGAGACAGGAGTGGTCTGCTGTGCCATGTGGGTCAGGTCCCTGACTGGGGATGAAACTTGTGTTGCACTGGCTGGCAATAGCTTGATAGTGTCATGTCTTCAACCCCTGAATCACCAGGGAGGCCCTAGACCATCATAGTAGTTACTGCAGTACCCCAGTAGCATTGATTCTTTTCCTTTCTCCTAGTACATAAGTGGCTGGTTATTCATTAAAATTCTATAGTCACCAGTATCTGTTTTATGATGTTTCCTTTGTTGGGAGCTACATTTTATATGTCATATCCCTTCTTGAATTTTACACCCCAGATAAAGTTTTGAACCTCAGGGTTAACTAAGCTTTGCTCTTAGAAACTAATATTTGTTTTTGCTGCTGGACATAAAAATCTGAGCACTCTGTCAAACATTTTGGAACTTACGGCTATTAGCTTCTTTGAATTAATTCTTTTTGAAGAACCACTATTATTAGGCACACTGTTAAATTTTAGATGGAGTATGCATGCCATATTTCTTTTGAAAAGCATTATACCAGTTTATGTTGGCTAAAATTTTTAATTCATTCACAGATTTCTATTTAAAATGTGTGAAACTGACTCCTGCCTTTTCGAAGTTTTCTTTCATTACTATTGCTATATATTTCTTTTTCTTTGATATATTTTGCATGAATGTTCATCTGTTAGTAGTATTCTTTCTTTTCAAGAAATTACTTACAGTAGTATAAGTATTACATTTAAGATAATTTTTTCATTTTCTTTTTAAATTAATTTCAGTTGCTAGTCTAATGTCAATACTTGTGAGTATCATTTTCTTCTTCAGTTTTACAGGTGTTTAATGTTTTCAGTTTCAGCACTTGGCATAGTTCTTTTCCAAGTAATTAAAGTTCTTTCTGATTTTTCTACTTATTATCCATCTCTTCATTGCAACATTTTTGCAACTGCAGTGTACACTTCCACATTAACCATATCAGTGGTTTCTGCTTCTTTGGGAAGGTCACATTAGATGATCCTCATGCCTGTGGGTTCCTGATAGCATCAGAGAAAGTCAAGATTTAAAAGGTATTCATCAGTCTTATGAACAAGATAAAAAAATGAACAGATGAATCTTTGAGTCTTCAGAAGAGTGACGGGGATATTGAGAAACAAAAGACAGGTTATTTTTTTTTTTTTTTTTTTTAATTTTTTTTTTTTATTTTATTTATTTATTCATACAGAACTGGGGTACAGGCCAGAGGCTCAGGGGCGGTGAAAGGCTTCACCAGAGATAGAGCGGGGAGCAGAACAGGCAGATCTACGAAGTACACTGCTGAGGGAAGCAGCGGGCGGGTCAGGAGAGGTCTGGCTCGCCATGTGGTTTCCTCCGGGGCAGGCTGCAGGCGGGAATCGAACTCATGCGGAAGTGGTTTCAGATTCTCAGTGCTGTGCTTTAACCCGCTGCGCCACCAGGGAGGGCCAAGACAGGTTATTTTTTAAAGATTTATTTATTTATGCACACAAAACTGGAATACAGGCCAGAAGTGCAGGGGTGGTGAGAAGACAGATTGGGGAGACAGACTGGGGAGCAGAGTAGGCAGATAAGTGAGTACACTGCTGAGGGGAGCAGTATGTGAGACAGGAAAAGTCTGCTGCTCCATGTGGGTCACCTCCAGAGCCAGGGATTGAACTCACACTGAAGCATCTGCAGCCAGCTTACAGTGCTGCATCCTAACCTGTTGTGCCACCAGGGAGGGCCCAAAAGTCAGGTTCTTTAAGATTGCAAAGATTAGGGGTTCAGGAAGGCTCTTTTAGATAATCATTCAAGAACATTCTCTGTTGAAGAAGAAGGCAAAAAGAACTGCTCATTGAAAGAGTACCTGGGGGCTTTTCCCTGGTGGCGCAACAGGTCAAAGCACAGCACTGTGAGGCTGTCACAGCAACTGCAGCATGAGTTCTATCGCCAGCCAGGGATGTAACCCACATGGCGCGGCAGACCTCTCCTGACCCGCCCACCGCTCCCCTCAGCGGTGTATTTCAGTCAGTCTGCCTGTTCTACTCTCCACTCTGTCTCTGGTGAATCCTCTTACTTCCAGACCCCTGCCTCTCTGGCTTGTACCCCAGTTCTTACATGCATAAATAAATAAATATTTTTTTTAAAAATAAAGAGTACCTGGGCTGATGATGATTTTTGTATGTTCTCTTATTCAATGGGAAAAGACCTAAGCATATGTAAATGTCACTGTTAAAGAACTAGTGGAATGTGAGTTTGCAATGTTAGGACAAGGAAGAGTGGGTAACTGGTACAAGGAAGGCCCTGGAAAACAGGACAGCCCTGTTTTCTATACTCTATGGAAAGGATTGACCTTGACTAGGGAGAGAGAGATCCCTCTTTCATGATGAGACAAGGGGAGGATGAAAGAATAAGCCTACCCCAGATTTATAGTTGTGGTTACAGCATGCTTAAGGAGTTGACCAGATAGCTGTGATATCCCTGAAACAGGCAATAAAGCTATCTGTTGATAGTGCGCAGGTGATAAAGAGGTGGTGAATAAAGGTTTGAGTGCAGTGGAGAACTTTGGTTTTTAAAAAAAGGGATGCACACACATGGTAATAAATAGAATGGTATATATATATGGGCATAAAGTGAAAGTGATTTACCACCCCGAGTTTTCCATCACAGAGGCAATATCTATTACATTTCTTGATTGTCTCTAGACAGAATCTATGCATATACAAATTTGTGCAAAAATGGTAGAATACCACATCTACTACTCTATAATGATACATGTTGGAAATTATGGTAGAGATGTTATGATGATGCTGTTTAGAAAAATGAGCGGGGAAACTAGTCAACCTAGAATGCATAACACCAGGGAGGTTGAAGAGCATGAATTGGTAAAGTACTAAATCTGCCTGATTGGGTGTTTTAGACTTCCTTGCCCCTAGTACCTTACTCAGAAGCCAGATACAGCATTAAGCAGGCTAAGTGCTCCACAAATGTTACCTCTTAGTACTACTGAATTATATAATATTTGAAAGCAGTTTTTCTTTGGGCAAAAACACTCTTAAGAAGTTCTTAGTAGGCCATGATTTCTCTCACATTTAAAAAAATAATAGTCTCTATTTTGTTAACTACTGAAGATTTCTGTCTGCAAATCATATCGAATGTCCGTCCATGTCTTGAGTGAAATATATGTTGCTGATTCACTTATGCAGATGACACAGCTCTCCTGTGGCTCTTTATCTGTATTCCTCAATGACTATTGTGACCCTAACATTCACCTAGTAGATAGTAGGCTCTTCTCTGTGGAGAGAAAGAATGCCTGTGCCCCTTACCAAACAGAAGTTCTTTAGGGGTTAATACCTTTTTTCTCCAGGCTGTGAATAATTAGGAAGAGGAAAGTAAAGACTCGGTTCACTTCATAACCCATTGTCAAATTTGATTAAGAATATTTTTTTTTAAAGATTTATTTATTTATTCATACAGAACTGGGGTACAGGCCAGAAGCTCAGGGGCAGTGAGAGGCTTCACCAGAGACAGAGTGGGGAGCAGAACAGGCAGATCGACGAAGTACACTGCTGAGGGGAGCAGCGGGCGGGTCAGGAGAGGTCTGCCGCGCCATGTGGTCACCTCCGGGGCAGATAGGAATCGAACTCATGCGGAAGTGGTTTCAGCTTCTTAGTGCAGTGCTTTAACCCGCTGCGCCACCAGGGAGGGCCTGATTAAGAATATTTAATATTGATCTTGCTTTCACAAACAGGAACTGTAAGTAAGTACCATACTTGGAAGATAATCATCTTCATCAAATAGAATGACTGCTGTCCCAGCCACATGCCTTTGAACCTTCTTGGCAACTCTTCCTTCCCTAAGTTGCATCAGTTTTCTGTGTAAATGTTCTTTATCTATCCCTGTATTGTAGTCAGTCATATGTTCCTAGTATATGCTGGTTTCATTTTATTATCCTATATCCTGCAGGGAATACCTGAATTTTTCATGTCCTTCTATTTTTCCAGATTATGAGTCCGGGAATGACAATGTGGAACTCATAGTGAGGCAGATTTCTGATGAAGCTGAGCCACACTGGATGACAGCGGGAAGCACTGATGGAAATGTTTCCCACAGTCAAGAGTTTGGAGAAGTTAGTGGCCTGCATGGCCTAGTCGAAAGGTGGCAGGTAACCCCCACTGTGGGGAAATCAAGGCAGAATCCTTCCCAGAAAAGAGATCTTGGTGCCATCACAGACAATGACCGTAAGCAAAACCCAAGTGGTGAGAGAGGTCACAAATGTAATGATTGTGGTAAATTTTTCCTTCAAGCCTCAAACTTCATTCAACATCGGCGAATCCACACTGGAGAAAAACCATTCAAGTGTGGTGAATGTGGGAAGAGCTATAATCAGCGTGTACACCTTACCCAGCATCAGCGAGTCCACACTGGTGAGAAGCCCTATAAATGTCAGGTGTGTGGAAAAGCTTTCCGCGTGAGCTCCCACCTCGTCCAGCATCACAGTGTGCACAGTGGAGAGAGACCATATGGATGCACCGAGTGTGGCAAAAACTTCGGTCGGCACTCCCATCTGATTGAGCACCTGAAACGCCACTTCAGAGAGAAATCCCAAAGATGTATGTGTTGAGTTTGTACTCTGAGAAGAAGCAGGGGCAAAAGTTGTGTGGCTGAGAATGATGGGAAGGATAGGTTGTGGTACTGGAAGCAGTGGGAAGGGCAAAGGTTACAGTCTGTCATTTATCCAGTAGTTCTCATACGAACAGCAACACCCTCTGCCCTGTCCACCATTCCCCCCCACTTCCCTTCCCCACAGGCACCCACTTTCAGCCTTCTCATCTGTTTCTAAGGTAATTCTGTTTTTTAAGTAACTCTGCTATTGTTTGTCATCATCCGTTGACTTTCTGTTGTAGAACATGAGGAGCTTGGTTCTCTTATGTTCTTCCTTCCTGCTTCTCCCTTTTGATCATTTAGTTAACCTCATTTACAATAAAATAATAGTACAGGAAGATTTGCAGAAAAAAGTGGGAGATTTAAAAAAATCACCTGTAGTCTCACGATCCTAATTGAGCTGTTATGATTTAGTGTATTTTCTTAAGCCTACTACATTTTATCTCAGAGGGTGCTATTAAATACTACACATACACATTGCCCAGTGCCCGTGGCCCTCCGTTTTGTTATTTTTGACTACTTGCTGTGTGGAGACATCATTTACTCAACTGTTACCCAGTTGAACTAATTATTTTTTCTCTTTTGTCCTGAAACTGTGCTTAGTACCTTTTTCTATATTTAGGATTATTTCTTTAGAAGCCCAAAGGAAAGACCAAAAACACTTGTACCGCTCTTTTTAAAACAGTCCCACCAGATATAAGAGATTATTCTGCAGTTTCTTCCAGAGTTATCAAAAGTTCTTTTTTAACAAATTCAGTAATCAGAAGGGAATTCTGTTCTATATATTTTCATTAATTTGATTATAAGATTGAGTAAGTTTCCTGTTTACTTTTATAAAATCTGCTCAATTGTGTAAAGATGAGATGACCATTAACTGCTATGAACTTAAAGGCTCTTATTAATATTCTTCAGATAACTTTAAAACTAGCCAGCATATTTCTTTTTTAATTATGTTTTTGATGTCCTCAAGCCCAGCTTGTTATTTGCGTCAACAGACATTGCACCTCTTCCATCAATGGAATAGAATTTATGAAGTTCATTATGTCTTTAAAGTTCTGGAATGAGCTGAGTTAACCTCCTTTGCAAGTTGTAGCTCATTCTACTTAGTGACTTCTCATTGGGGGATATTCATCCAGCAGCACTCTGGGCTTGGAAAGCAGTGTCCTTAAATAGTATCTTTATGGTTTCCCTGCAGTTACTTGGCTAACTAGTCTTCTGTTTCTACTCACTTACCTTCCCCCTATTTTTTGAAAAAGATTTATTTTATTTATTTATGATATTTGTTTATACAAGAGCTGAAGTAAAGGCCAGAGATGTGTGGCAGGGGCTAGAGGATTCTCTGGAGACAGAGTGGGGAGCAAAACAGGCAGATGTACTGAAATACACTGCTGAGGGGAGCAGTGGACAGGGCAAGGGAGGTCGCTTGTGCCATGTGGGTCAGCTCCCTGGCCTGGGATCAAATTTGTGCTGCAGTGACTGCCAATAGCTTCATAGTGCTGAGACTTAACCCCTTGAGTCACCATGGAGGTCCCCACCCCCTATTTTTTGATCAGAGGAAGAATATATCCAGCTATATTTGTTGAGAGTCTCTTATGCTAGGTACTTGGGTTACAGCCATAAAAAGAATATACAGTTCATGACCTTGTGGAGTTGGTGGTCTGGTGGGAGTTGGTGGTCTGGTGGGAGTAGAAGCAGAAGGTAAGAATACCCAAAGGAGGAAAACTGAAAATAGAGTGTTGACTAAGACTGAAAAGAGCCGAGATGAATACATTGTCTACCCACAGTATTCTTATCGGCTCATTTCTCTTTTTTCTACCTCCTAATCAGGTATTCTTCTAGCTTCATACTTCATAATCCTGTGTCTCCCACTCTTCCATCCAGTTGTGTATTTTGTTCTGTCTGCCTAATTCATGTTGTGTTAAGGTCCCCTCTATACTTGCTGCCTCCGCTCCTGCTTTCTCTCCTTTTTGTCTAATTAAGTGTCTCTTAAGCCCTGTGGTTGCCTAAGTTCACTCATTCTTACCACCCTTTTGAGCAAGACTCATTTTTGGCTTGTTCTTTATACAAGACAAATACCAAAAGAACCAGAGGTTCTCTTCACTCTTAGCACCAAGTACAGGCATCCCTTTTGTTACTCCTTTTACCTCTTAGTTTCATCGGATTAACCCTTTTCTGACAGTTTTTCCTTCTGTAAAATAACTAATGGCATTTGCATTTCCTCTTTATTTCTTCAGGCAGTGACAAAAGAAGTAAGAATACAAAATTGAATATGAAGAAGAAAATTTCCGAATTTTCAGAAACAGATTTGGAACTATCAGGGAGAATCCAAAGAAATGTTTCTCAAGAATTTGGAGAAGGCCATGAACACCAAGACAAGTTAGATAGAAAACAGGGCATTCCCATGAAAGAGATACTGGGACAACCATCCAAGAGGCTAAATTTCAATGACGTCGCCTATGTCCACAAAAAGTCCTCCACAGGAGAGAGGCCACATAAGTGTAATGAGTGTGGAAAAAGCTTTATTCAGAGTGCACATCTTATTCAACATCAGCGAATCCACACTGGAGAAAAACCGTTTAGGTGTGATGAATGTGGGAAGAGCTACAACCAGCGCGTGCACCTAACTCAACATCAGCGAGTCCACACTGGTGAGAAGCCCTATACCTGTCATTTATGCGGGAAAGCGTTTAGAGTGAGGTCCCATCTTGTTCAGCATCAGAGTGTGCATAGTGGGGAGAGACCCTTTAAATGTAATGAGTGTGGGAAAGGCTTTGGGAGGCGTTCACACCTGGCTGGGCACCTGAGACTCCACTCTAGAGAGAAATCTCATCAGTGTCATGAATGTGGAGAAATCTTTTTCCAATATGTTAGCCTAATTGAACATCAGGTACTCCACATGGGCCAGAAAAATGAAAAAAATGGCATTTGTGAGGAAGCATATAGTTGGAACCTAACAGTGATTGAAGATAAGAAGATAGAGTTACAAGAGCAGCCTTATAAGTGTGATATATGTGGCAAAGGCTTTAGTTACAGCTCAGACCTTATTCAGCACTACCGGACTCATACTGCAGAGAAAACCTGTAAATGTGATATATGTGGAGAGAATGTTAGCCACTGTTCCCACATAAAACAATACCAAAAACCCTACTCCAATGTGAAGTCACATCAGTGTAACGAATGTGGCAGAGGCTTTACTCTGAAGTCACATCTTAATCAACATCAGAGAATCCATACTGGTGAGAAACCCTTTCAGTGTAAAGAGTGTGGAATGAGTTTCAGTTGGAGTTGCAGCCTCTTTAAACATTTACGAAGTCACGAGAGGACAGAGCCCATGAATACCTTAACTGTGTAGATGTTTCTGTTGTAGAACAGCTGTTAATTATAGAGAAGCCTTCCTGAAGAGAAATCCTGCTCCTGTAATGAATGTAGTAACAACTTCAAGCATTTTTATCCAGCTTACCATCAAACTCACAGACATGTTAAAATCCTTCAGTTAGAAATTAGCTTTAGGAACACTGGAGAATCCACGACAAATAGATCGAGAAATCCTTGTGTTTGTCATCTTTGTATGTGAGGATCCAGACAGGAGAGATTCTTCGGGTGGCACTCATTCTTCATTTGAAGCCCAGTACATTGACCCTGGGGGATGCCTTGTGAATGCAGTAGATTTAAATAAGCTTTATTTGTAGTTTCCACCTTGTTTGATAGATTATCTATTCAGGGACAACCACAGTGGGAGAGAGAACTCTTCAGCATGATGTCTGTTTTGGTACCTCAGCAATGAACCTTTTCTAAAAATAATTATCCTACTATTATAATGCTCCTATTACTGTTCCATCTTGAGTATTAAACTCTGTGAAAACAAATTGACTTAAGGTATTTATATATTTTGTCAGAGTTGGGGTTCAGAGACTGAACGGTCTGTGAACCTGCTGCCTTATTCAGTCTACAGCTTCTTGACACAAGTTCCACATTGCTTTTGTTTCAATTCTCTTACCATCAGGACTAGGTGGTAGAAAGAATGCATTTGTAAATGAAGGAGAAAGGGGAGTATAGAAGGTGGGCCAAACTGTAGACTGGTTTTAAACTGTTATCCACGAGAATGAGGACAGTTCTGTCCATAGTAGGAATTGGACTGAGTTGAATCTTGGTCCAAGCAGTTTGTGTGCCAATTCCCAGTTGCACTGGACCTAGGTCTCTCCTATAGATAATAGCATGTAGAATAAGTTTCAGTTGGAGTTTGCAGCTGAATTAAAAGTGAATGGTAATTAGAAGCAGGAGGTCATGGTCTGGTCAGCCCTGCCTGGTGGGAAGGAGTTGCTGAGGAAGGATGAACTTTGTGTGCTAGAAATAGGGAGGGTACTCTGGGTGCTGCTAAAGTCCTGCTTCTGCCAACTGCCTGTTTATAATAAATGTTCAGTACATACTCCTTGGCTGTGTGGTACGCTGGTCCCTGTCAGATGCCCTTTGCCAAGTTGGCATGCCCATCCCTTAGCTGTTCTGAGTTTGGGCTAAGTGCTCACAGCATCCCCCTTCTCCAGACACTGGAGACACCCTCAAATGATGCAGTCTTGCCTCACTCAGGAGTTACCTGCTTTCCCACCTGCTCTCCAGTCATCTCAGCTGATTAATACAGGGGTACAAAAGGCTGATTCACTTGTCTTAAGGGAAAACTGATACCACGTGAGCTCCATAACCCTCCCTCTGTATCAGGCCACAGCTAAGCTATCTGAGGCGACGTCCATGCTCTGCTCTTGCCCTATGGTGTCCTGTTTCTTTCCTGCCCATGAAAGGCATGCCATCGACAAATCACATGGTTCTGAGTCTGGCTCAGCCTCTGCTTTAGGAAACCTGATCTAAGACATTGTTGCTGTGAGTGATCCTAGAACCTGACTCTCAGAGTAGACTGTGGACTTGTGCACTCAGCAGAGTATCCATAGTCCCAGTGTTCAGTGGCTGTACCTTTGTGACATTTCTCTACAGTAAACTGGTATGGGACACATGGAAAGGAATGTACTGACTTGTGTAAGATTTGTGAGGAAATGAACATAAGGGTTGTATGGAAGTGGGTAGATCCTACTGAGTTCTTATTCCTTGAAGGGAGAAAGTGAAAATAATATACAGATAACCACCAACTTAACACTAAGTGCTTTCTTGATACTGTTTGAAGAAAGACTTGTTTCCTGCCAATAATCACATAGCTAGGGGTCATCAGTGTTACTTAATTGAGAATGATGGCTTCAGTAAGTACAACCTAAATTCCCAGCCAAAGAATGGTGCTCAAGCCAAAAAGATTTCATTCTCGGTAGAGGAAGCCAAATAAAGCAGTCATTGAGAAGGCGAAGATAGAATTGGGTTCTCCTTTCTCTGTCTTAATTTCGATTCTACTTCACAGGGCTCACAGCCTTTATTGAAGTCTGACTGTTTCCCCCTTTTCAGCTGTTCTCGATGTAGCCCACTAAAATTTGCATGAATGCTTGAGATTATTTTGCAGTTCTCAGGTCTTTCAGATGCTTGTTGCTTTTCTCTGCTTCCTTTTACATAACTCAAGACCATGCTAGTTCTGTGTCAGAGATACCATCACCTGCCAATGGCTTTCAGTTTTGCTACCTTAGCTGGTCAGTGTTTTTAAGGAGGGGTTTTAAGGAGAATTAATTAGACCACTATCTTCTCTCGCGTCTCTTTCTTGAGCACAAGGGAATTACCCTCGTAGAATTAGCCCAGTAGACCACCCTACACATCTCTCCAGTTAGCCAAAAATTATGTCATGTATCCATGCTTAAATAGGATGATGATATAAAACCATGATCAGCATCAAGTGTCACTTCCTGGAATTACAACAGAAAGGGTAAATCTCACCCACACACAGGTAGTGAATAACAACTTGAATGAGTTCTGCCTAAAAGGAGGAAGCAAGGCAGCAGCAGGGTCAAAGGACAGATGTGTGTGTGAAATTGTCATGAGTTTTATTTTTCTAAATTGCCAGTAACTCACAGAAATATATTTTACATTATTACCATTATATATACATATATGTATGGAACTGAAACAAGTTTCATGAACCAATACTATATATGGAAACGAAACCTAGTAAACTCCAACTATGGTTTTATTAACATTTAAATACAATAAAAAAATCCTAAAAAGTATAAAACCAAAATTTTGTAAAGGTGGTATTTAGTGTGATGGCTGTATCTACCTGTTCTAAGTTCCAGTCAGGAATTCAGGAAGACAAGGCTACCGCATTGCTTACAAATCTCACGTAACACCCATGTCAATCTAATGATTAGGTGCATGATTACAATACCCATTTTATAGGAGAAAAACAGCTGAGAAAGATTAAACAACATTTTTAATGCTATAAAGTCAGTGCAGCAGCACCAGTACTCAACCTGTCTGAAGTCCAGAGTCCTAACTATGCAGCTACACTGCTATCTGCTCACTAAAAAGTGATCTGGTCATTCTTAAGTGACCGACACAATAGGGAGTAATGGTGATCTACTGGGGCACAGGTGTGTGTGTGTGTGTGTGTGTGAGGGATTAAAATTTATATTTTAAAAATCCTGAAATTCATATATATATTCATACATATATTCATATTCCTGACAGTCCTAGTTTTGTTTTTCTCCCCATCTCTAGTATTTATATTTGTTTTATCATCATTTGTGTTACCATTTTTGTCTTCCAACTATATTTTCTTTGTACATTTCAGTGATAGCTTCTGAATATGCCATTCCACTTAAGGTATTTTAAGAAGACTGGAGAAAAGGGAATCTTATTTTTGACATCTGGGACAGTTTTAAATGTGGGATGAGGGAATAAGACATTCATACAGGCCATCCATCAGGGTGGCAGTAAGAATCAAAATGAAGGGACTTTAGAGACGCAAGGCCCGTCAGGGACCCAGACACTTCCCTGACCCCGATAGGCCCTGCTTATGTTCTGGGCAAGTAGTAGTAGAAAAAATGGCTTTTCTTATAGGCTTCTTGAATGATCTCAGCACTTCAAGAATAAAGATTGTCTTTTGCTCTCATTGTTGCCCTTGTCCCTTTAAAAGAGCTTGCTGCAGTCCACATTTAAAAATGTATTTATTCAGGACTCTCCCTGTTGGTACAATGGGTTAAAGCACTGTATTGTGAAGCTCTCTCGAAAGTCACTGCAGCACCAGTTCAATCACCCGCCAGGGAACTGACCCACATGGCACAGCAGACCTCTCCTGACCCACCGCTGCTCCCCTCAGCAGTGTATTTCAGTAGATCTGTCCTGCTCCTCACTTTGTCTCTGGTGAATCTTCTTACCCACCACACCTCTGGTCTGTAACCCAGTTCTGTAAACATAAATAAATCTTTAAAAAGAATGTATTTGTCAACTGAATAGAATATCAACATTTCTGCCCATTTGGAGAAAGTGCAACAAATTCAGAAAGGGCGTATCGCTTATAATGAAGAGATTTTACTATATTGCAATGTCAGATTATGAAACATCTGAGTAAGAATGGAAGGAATTTTATAGCTGCACAGTTTAAAATTGAGAAATATATTTATGTCCAAGAATAATTATATTTCTCCCATAAGACTTTGTAACCAACCTGTTCCCCCAGCAAAAAGTAAGATCCCACTGACCTGCTTACAATGCATTCTTCCCATCTGACTGTTGCTTATGATTTATTTACCATCACCCTGTAAGGATGGTTTCCTTATTCCCCTGCCACTTAACAGTCTCTTCATAACGAAGGAATCTTTCTGATGGAGATGGGCCATCAGCTTTGGCCTTGCTGGATTTTTCACTTAATTTCCCTCTACAAATGAATTTCCAAGCTGGAAGTGTTGTTGGAGATAATCTATTGTACTTTGGGGGAAATTTGAGACTTGGTTGCGTTTTGTCCAGAATCATCCTGCTAACCAGTGGCAGAGAGCAGTGGTGACAATTCTCCTAATGGCCCACAGCACATTCCACAGCATCACAAGCCTTTAATACTCGCTGTTCCAAGGCAAGCTAAGCACCTCTACTTCCCACAAGTGAAAAACTCACTTAAAGTCTGAAGTCACACCTTTTTTAAAAAAGGCTTAGGAAGTTCAGAAATGGAAAATTAAATGTGGTGTATATAATGTTTACCTACTGCATCCAAATCACAGGTTCAAACGCTCTTTAATCACTATCATCAGTGTTGGTGGGCATAAGTAGATGTTCTGCAAACTTGTAAATCCTAAACTTGTCCACTTAAAAAACTTCATGGTGGTTGGTACTCTCTGGTCATCATTTTACACCTCGGGTTCCCTAGGAATCAAGAAAAAAGAAAGAAAAAGACCTTTATCAGAAGAAAGCAAAGACAACTGGGAGTTGGGGAGCACAGAAATTAAACTAGGGTCATTTGGGGATGACTCTCTGAGTTGAAAAACAAGGACATACCAGATGATTTCACTCATAGCAGGAGTGTAAGGGATGGGGACAGGAAGAGGAGGAGGGAAAGTGGGACAAACAAAGGTAGTAGAGTAAAAATGAAAAACTATAAAGCACACATTTTGTGGGGGTGGTAAGGAAAATGGGATCAGAACTGGGGTGGGCAGAGTGCACTGGACTGTGGTGATGGCACATGGGTGAATTGGTGGTGGGAAGCCCGTGGGGATTACAACTGAGATGGAAAAAGGCACAAAATGAAGAATGATGTAAAAAAATACATACAAAAAAAAAAAAAATACCGAGGACAAGAAGGCCCAAGCAGACCACCTTTCCCAAGGTGTCACAGGCCAGTGCGGGTGGTTGCCTTCCTGCTCAGAGCCAGAGCTGCCTCTGCCGGGAGGCCGTGATCCCACTAGGAGGCTGGGACCGAGGCTGGGACCAAGGCTAGGGATGTGCGCCCTCCTCCACACTATTCCAGGTGGCAATAGCTACAGGGGGTCAGGAAGCACAGCTGACCACATCCACCTCTGCCCTGCCCAGTGTTCCCAGCAGAACCCATGTCTCACAGTGAACCCCCGGAGAAGTCTGCGGATGCTGGGGTAGAAAAGGGAGGTGATGAGATTGAAGGACAGTGCTCTTGGACCAGGGATCTCAGCTCACCAGATTCCAGAGACTGTCAGAAAAGCCAGAACCACGTCAACGTCCACCTAAAAGCCCCTGGTGCACTTCAGGGTTCTTTCTAGGAATGCTGGAGGAGTTTGAGTCCCAGTTCCCCAATCTCTAGGTCTGACTTTAGGGAACCTCTCTCTTATGTTCATCTTTCCCTTTACAGGAAAGAGGGGATTAGGTTTTCCTTCATACCATACTGCTTACTTACATGTTTTTCTTTTTCATTGACAGCAGTAATCATAATATTTATAATTATTATGAATAATAACAATTAGTGATTATGTATCTGAGGTGAAACAAAGATAGGAACAATGGTACATCAAAGAAGTCAAGGATGAATAGGTTATAAAACAGAAATGGTTGCTTCTCTAGGGATTCTGGTTACCCGTTGCCACTTGAAGGGGCAGTCATTTCAAATATCTGATGTCCATGTAACAGAACAGGCATCATTTCCATACTAGACAGAGGTTCTGAGCTTGGCTAATGCTTCCAGGTAGTTTTCAAAATATCAATAGTGGAATTACTATAGTATACCGAATTTAAGACATTTTTTGCTGACAATTACCACAATAATTACAGCTTTTACCATTACATCAACAGGCCAAGATACTACTTTTTTAAAAAATTTTTTATAAAGATTTATTTATTTGTGTATACAGAACTGGGGTACAGGCCAGAGGCTCAGGGGCGGTGAGAGGCTTCACCAGAGACAGAGTGGGGAGCAGA